TTTGCGGAAAGTTTTTAGCACGATAACAGTCAAGCCATTTCAGGAAACGTTCATTTACTGGACTGTCCGTCGAGCCGCAAGCAATTCACTCTGAGCATGGAAATAGCCCGAATCGGACTGAGCAAGAATCGCTTCCTCGTTTTTCAAAGTCTCGTAGATTTGAGTCTTCCAGACTCCAAGCGTCTCCTGAATGTTTCGTACTTCGTAACCCGCTTCGTTTAATGAGATACACTTCATTTTCTCTTCCGCGGCCATTACCGCTCCTCTTTGTTTGGATGCCATGCTCTAATATAGGATGTAAAAATTTCGCAATTCCAGGAAAACTCACTGCAACAAAGAGTCGCTTGCATGTCGCCGTTTTGGATCCAATGACAGAAAATAGCGGTGCGGATACATCTATTTCGTCGTATCGAGCGGGACTTACTTGATTTAGTGCTACTGCGGGCTTCCGTATCGTCTCCCCCTCCCTCCCTGTGCTCTGCGACTTCAAGTAACTGCGCCACCTGGCGTTTAAATGCCTGTATTACAAGTCCAAATGAAATTAATGCAATAATTTACATCGAACCATAATTATGTACTGTACCAACCTTCGGCGGGCCGGATGAAAAAGACCAACGGGCCGGATCCGGCCCGCGGGCCGTAGTTTGCCCATGTCTGCTATAGATGAACCCTGCGCTTTGCTTTTTAAGTCTTGGTCTTACTCGCGTAAGAAAATTCATTTGACGGTTCAATTTGAACTCGTCTTGTGTGTTGTTTTAATCATCTGTTCCCCCTGTAGCACATCAAAGAATTCATGTTCATGACTATACATCCATCCTATCTGTACGTCTGTAGAGTAACGTCACATCAGGTGAACACACTGACTCGAAATCGCCATCCTCACAAATCCGAATGGAGCCCATTCACAGATAGTGACGATGCTATTAGTGAGCCTCGAGGCCCGTCCGGTTTGCGCGCGTGCGTCTGAGTGTGCGTGTCCATATTTGTGTTTGTATACCTCCATTGTGACGCGTGTAATCCGCATGCTCTCTAATCCCCAAGCAGGTGGCCCTGCGTGTGACGGCTGCAGGGGTTGCGTCGAGGGCACACGCTTCCAGTATCACACACACACACACACACACACGCACACAGGATTGAGCCACATCCACACGACAGTGCTCAATGTGGTGTTTAGTCTTGTTGCCTGGTGTACACCGACCGGGCTGAAGGGGAAACACGCACCGCCGTTACCCGTTAACCCTTGATTCCGCTTATCACCCAAGCCCTGCCCCCTGCACGCCGCCATCTCAAACAGACACGCTCGCCTCCGGGAGTTGGTGGCGAGGCATCTGTCTACTGTACGATGCCTCCATCTGCCTCTCAGGCAGACACGCTTAACGAGCGGGAAGGAAATTAGCAAGCCTAATAGTAGTTCCCACTCCCACCTTTAGAGGAATACGTGGCGTGTTTGAAACAGGCAAGTGAGCGGCGTTTGTTGACCCGGCCTCACTGTAAGCGACAAAACTCTGAGGCCCCTCCAACTTTGACCTCTACATTGTATGTAGGCGGACGGTATAGTTTGGCGGTTGAGAAAGCGGCGCGACATGCCCGTATGACCTCAGTTAAACCCACTTGAGTGACTCTACCTTCCTTAACTTTGTAATTTTTTTCATAACCAGTGGATACGTCAACACATTTCGCAATCTGAGTTCATTTTCATTTCACAGGCCATAGGATAGCAAGTCACTTTAGTTGGCATCTGTTTGGGACACCCATCTCGTTGATGTGACTTTGAGGATTAAATTGATGGAATCTGTTTTTACACCATCTACCTGTTGCTCTTTGATAAGGCGATTTATGATGCACACCCACAAATTGTCACATTTTGGAAGGATGGGAGTGCTTTGTTGCCCAAACGTTCATAATCCGATGTTGTGCAGAGGCTACATGAACAGAAGGAACCATTAACGAAGCATTCATTTTATATAAAGAAATAATATAAATATCTAATTTTTTACATCTTCTGGATTTTTCTTGAATCCTGGAATCCACTTTATAGATATAGATATGTAGTGTTGTCTGACGTGTACACTAATAAAACCACAATTAGATTGCAAATCCACGGCTGCCGTTTTGTGTCTCGCGCGAGCGTGCGTCCTCAACGGCCCGTCTGACTCCGGCACACTGTCACGTTGCATACAAGGCAGGAAACAAGGACTGCTTCGTATGCAAACAGAGCGAACAAGAATAAGTGGATCCCCGAAGCAGCAGACACTGACAAGGCCTTCGTCTCAAAAAATAATATTTATTACAAACGAAAAAATACCGTCTTAAAGGACAACAGAAAACGCTGGTCAAAACAAGAACCAGGAAAATAATGTAACGAGAAAACACAAAGCGCTTGCAAAGAACGGCAAGGAAAAGGATAAGATAATGTACTAGCTCAAATATGCGTCTTTAAATAATCCCGATGGGATGAAGAAAGTGTAAGCGAACAATAATCGAATACGAGTAAGGTTAACGAGCATGGGCAATAGCAGTGGCACGGCAAGCAATACTCCGGCAATGAGTCGACAGCCGGAGCGCCTAGATAAAGCAGGTGTAATCACAGACAAATGGGCAGCAGGTGTGCAGGCGGCAGAGTGAACGCCTGCCACCTGCTGTCTAATACGGAACATGACACACACAAACGCCATTGTCTCGCTCATTCAAATGAGATTCCACGAGTGGAGCAGCAGTGTTGTTGTTCATGTTGTTGTCACAGATGAATAATGTATGGGGCTGCCGTGGTTGATATGTGATAGAATGTAGGACACACGCTTATGCATAACAATAGTCTACAGTTGTGTTCTCACCAGCAAAACTGGCCACTTAGCTCCCACGTTCGCTTTTTAATGCTGTACACACAAACGCCATTGTCTCGCTCATTCAAATGAGATTCCACGAGTGGAGCAGCAGTGTTGTTGTTCATGTTGTTGTCACAGATGAATAATGTATGGGGCTGCCGTGGTTGATATGTGATAGAATGTAGGACACACGCTTATGCATAACAATAGTCTACAGTTGTGTTCTCACCAGCAAAACTGGCCACTTAGCTCCCACGTTCGCTTTTTAATGCTGTTGCCGCGCCTCGCCTCTGACAGTTGCTCAGTCGCCCCGGTCTACTTTCACTTCTTTCTTTTGTTTCTGACACAAAAATGAAGTCACGCGCCTGTCACTGCACAGCTGATCTCATAATAATAACAGTCTATATCACCCCCCGACCCCCACCCCCGTTCTCCCTCCCAATGGGATTTTGAATCAGGAATTGTCCGTTTTAAACGTTTTTCTCGACGCGCCTTTCCTCGTTCCCAGACACGGATTGACCTTTCACTTATGTGACATATTAACTGGGTGTCCTATATAGGATCATGACTTCGAGAAATAGTGTGCAAAATGTGTGCAAACCTGTCTGATAAATAATTCAGCTAAGTCAGTGAACATCTCGATGAGCCTGCGGCTTCAATCGGAACCCACGAATTGGGAATTAATACATACGTTTAACGAAGACATATTAAACTTTTTTTTTTAAAAAAAACACTTTTGGTACAATAGTAATTCATCCTCATAACTTCATGACTTTTCTCGCAATTTGTTTGATTTCAATTTTATTTCATCCTCAACAAAAACAGTCACATTTAAACTTTTCTACACTATTTTGTTTGATGGGAGTTTAACTGCAACAGTTTTTTTCCCCATTTCATCTGAGGTTTAAAAAAAAAAAAAATCTGACCCTTTATTTTTACATTGAAATACTGTATTGTTTTTCATAAAATCGGCATACATTGTTTTGACCCAATAATTTAGTCACTCGAGTGTGGATGACCATCCACGCCGTCAGGAATCAGGCACGGAATTCCCAGACCCACAGTCAGGTGAATAATCTTGGGAAAGCCTGGCCTCAGAACCCCCCCCCCCCCAAAAAAAGCCAAAAGAAGCTTCCTTCCGAGGCTTGCTCTTCTACTTTATTGTTTGCCATGCTCACAAGCGAACAGGGGATTAATAAAGCGCGTCTGGCACCTCCATATGGCCCCTCTGGTGGCACTTGTGCTTAATTAAAAGCCAATGGCTACTCGAGTGGTCTCGGCCGCGTGGGGGTGGGTGGGGGTTCTTCTCTTTTCCTGCTACATAAGGGCCACTCATGACTTTCTGCTCTCTGTTGTCATTTGGTTATCGCAACCTGTTGAAGTTGATCCAGGATGTTGCGGGGGAGCGAAATATTCTTTTCAGTGACCCAGTGACAGGTACTGGGACATTTGATTGTGTCTTTGTACGTCCCAAGACTTTTCGTGACTTTTCAACGTGGCCCCAAAACCTTTTCCAAAGTCAGACACATGTCACATTTTCATACCTCCGATTGCAGTGATGAGATTTGATTCAAACGTTGCTGCGTTCAAGACCGACTTGTCTTAATGTATCCTTGGCGGCTAATTGGAGGTCAAACAGACAACAAAGCCCTCTTCTAGTCCTAATTAGAGTGATACCTCCATGCCTCCATTCTCGTAATCCTGCACATAGACGGTTCCCCTCCCAAAAAAATCTTAATCCCTGCAGCAGATGGAAGTGATTTTTTTCGATTGATCGGCTCTTGGGTTGATTTGGAAGAGACTGTGGGTCAGAAGTTGAAGGAAATACATCAGTGTTTATAGTCTTATAATCTTCTGGTCTAATTGTGACTTCTCCTAATACGACTTTTCTGAGAGTATTATTTAAGATGAGATAAGATAACTTTTATTTGCCCCACACTGGGGAAATTTGAAATTTGCACATTTGACTTCACCTCAACTTTATTCTCAGAATGTTGTCTTTTGTCCGGCAATAGTCAGACTTGTAATTTAAGTGACTTATTTCTCATAACTATGTATGACTTTGGTTTTTTGAAGTCGGCACCTTACTTTCTCCTAACTTTGCAATATGTCTTTTCTCATCAATGTGCAACGTTGATAGAGGTCACAAAGCAAAAACAGCAGATATAGGCTTTGTACACATGCAAATTGGCTCATATTTATTTAAATACAGCGTTACCTGCATAGTCCCCATTTTAACTGTAATAATTTATCACTAAACCGCTGCTTGCAAAAAAAAAAAATAGCAACAAAAAAGAAGAAATTAATCTAGAAGAACATAGAACAAAACAGAATTGGATAAAAAAGAAAATAGAGGGAAACGTTTGATTGTCTTTTCGTTTTTAAACATATTTGTCATAAATTAAGTAGTGCATCCATGTCAGAAATCTTGCACACGCCAAAACTTTGATCACATTGGGGATGCTTAAGAAGTTTATTAACCCCGCCCCCACCACCACCAAAAAGTTCCGTTCTTGTTGGTCATTTTTTAATTGTTCCTTCTGCTCGATCAAAGTCTGGAGTGTGAATGCTCAGATGAAAAAAAAGGGGGGAGAAAAGAGGTAGAAGAGGAGTCCCCCCACCCCCCCTCCCCCCGGGCCGGCTCGCGCCCGCTCCCCCAGGGCCTGTAAATCAGATCACAAAACCTGGAACTTCCACGCCGCCTGCTGCTCTTTATAATCCAAACAATCGGTGTTGAAATTGAGCTTCCATGAGGACGAAGTTGTCTGGTCCTTATAGTCCATGCAGTCCGCCGTGCCTCCGTAGCCGTACGCCGACGAGGAGAGCGACGACGCCGGGCTCAGGTGGCTGGACACCCCGCCGCCGCCTCCTCCGTTGCTCATCGGGCTCATAGCGGAGCTCAGTTGGTGATGGTGCATCGGCGAGAGGTATGAGCCGCAGTCCATGCCGGAGAAGTAGGACGACGAACCCGTGTAGCCCTGGTTGTAGGCAGACGTGGCCTGGGTGTACGTCACCGGGTAGGAGCGCTGCATGCAGGAGGACGCCGAGGAAGCGGACATGGGGTCGGACAGGGGCGAAATGGAAGCCGGGCTCCAGATGGACACCGGCGTCGCCGCGGTGCTCACGGGCGGCAGAGAGGCGTTGGAGGGCGGCGTGAACTGGCCGCTCGCCCCGCTGTCCGAGCTGGCCTCCCGGACCGGAGAGGGTTTCTTTTTCACCGGCCTGGTGCTGGACGCTTTGCTGGGTGCTCCGCTTTGGGTCTGCTGGGCCTGCTGGCGGTGTTTGGCCCTTCGGTTTTTGAACCAGACCTGCAGAGTGAGAGCCAATCATGCGACTGTGAAACTTTGAATCCACACAATATCATGCAACAATTGTATTAAATATAATAAACAATATTTTTCGTCAGTAGAGGCCAAGACAATTACATGATCAATTACAGCCTGCAACTCTAAAACGCATTTAAAATTTAACCCGCAAATGCTCGTGCAATATTAGAAACAATTGGTGCATCATTTTTGCACCCACCTAACACTTTAGGCACCAAATAAAAATGTAAATATCTGCCTATATGCAGAAACAAACGAAAGTCAGCATTGAACTGTAAAATATGTACCCCAAAATGCTAATATAATTATGGTGATTAAAATTCGTTACGATATATTTTCCGTACATAGTTATTTAAAGCTCTGCACGTGGAGAAACACCCGTGCAAACATTTAATACCACAACATGTTTGTGTCATAAACATTTGATGCATGATATTTTTCACACATTTAAACAATTTCCCCAGTAATTAAACCATTTAAAACCCTGCAAGTGATGTCATATAGTGCATCTCAATACATTAGAATATCGTCAAGAACTATTTCAGTACTTCAATTCCAAAAGTGAATCTCTAGAAAAGATTTTTTGGAAAAATCCAAATTGTACCCTTTCATGAATTTGCAATTCATAAGAAACAGTTATTATTATTCTTTAAGGTATGAGTGAGGAAATGGCCTTCTGAATCGCATCGTCTTGTGTGCACTAGATTTTTTTTTCATTGAACATTTAAAAAAAATGAACAGAAAAAATATTTTTTTCGGCTGACCTGCACTCTGGATTCAGGCAGGTTGATCTTGAGGGCCACCTCCTCCCTCATGAAGATGTCCGGGTAGCGCGTCTTGGTGAACAGGTTTTCCAACACGTCCAGCTGGGCCCTGGTGAAGGTGGTCCTCTCCCGCCTCTGTTTCCGAGGCGTGCCTGCGTGCAAATATGATGAAAAACACGCATGAACGAAATGACCCCCCCAAAAATTTTCCCTTCACTTATTTTCCTTCCGACATAGTTCATGATTTACCTTGGTATCCCACGGTAGGGTGCAGCAGGTCCACCCCAGGGGAGGATAAACTGAGTCCGTTGACCGTATAAGGGGGCTGCTTCAAGTAGGACATCATTGTGATGGCTGATAACCCGCCCCCCCCCTAAAAAAAAAACAAAACGATAAAATTGAATAAAAAGAGTTTCTTCCTGCTCTTTTAGTTCCAAGATGATGATAGAGGTGCGGCAAAAGAAGTGAGGGTCTCAAACGTGTGCAGGGGCTCTTAAACCCATAGACCCTTCCCCCTCCCCTCTATCCCCTCCCTTCCCAGCTGTCTGTCTATCCGTCCCCCCGAAAACATACTCCTCTCTTAAAAACAAAACATTGTCGTTAAAAAATGCACCCCCCCCCCATTCTCCGCCCCTCTTCATCAAGCATTACCATATATACCCACAGGTTAGGCCGCAGCTAAATGGGCAGTTGATTGGGGGGCCATTTGCAAGGACAAAGCCCACTGTTGACGATAAGTAACGCTGATAATAAGAAGTTGCAAACAAAAGCTGCAAACTGAGATGCGCCATTCAGATACAATGAAGTCCCCCCCCCCCAGCTCCGACACAGTGCGCCCCCCACCCATACTTCCAATTTTTGTGATGTGTTTGCATTAAAAGCTCCGCACATGTCAATGTGACCTAATTACAATACGATGGATAACTTTGGGGGGGGGGGCAGTCATGAAGAAGCGGGTCTAATTTTGAAATCACATCGACACTTTTAAAGGCAAGTAAACACTCCTGCCTCCGACTCACTTTTAACACTCCCCTCCCCGAACGCCCCCCTCCCCGACTTCGTCCTCGTCTCCTAATGAATTGCTCCCGGTAATTAGATTTGGAAGGTGAGACTATCGCAAAGTGTTGATTAGGAGGTGGTACTTAATCTTAATCTAAACAAACAAGGAGAGTGAAGTTTTTTGTTTTTTTTTAAACGTGCGCGTTACATCGTGGAAGTTTTTCTTCATCATATAATTACCCTTACGTCATATAATAAAAAATAATATACATATATATTTTTAATTGATTACTTATCAGCCTCGTGTGATTGCAGTAATATTTTTAAAGGTTCATAGTCATAAAAGTCGAACTTTGTTGTGATTTTTATACAAATTAAGGCCTGTTTTTAAACCTGCTCATGTTTTTTTCCATTGCATGCATGCATATGTATACGATTCACACACACACACACACACACACACACACACACACACACACACACACACACACG